TCACACCACCAGCCCGGCTGCCGGCGCAGGGGGCTTGGAGCTTCATGGCAGCAGCTAGGGGTGCTGCACAGCCCTGCGGAAGGGTGTCTGTACACAAGGGTGCACATGGACAAGTCTGTCGGCCAGTATAACATTTGAGTCAAGTCTCTGTGTGTCATGAACCATAGATCATGTGGCCCAGAAGGAAAGGGCAGAAAATGGGATAATCTAAGAGACAAGGACTTGTTTTGAACTGTTGCTTATTAGAAAAGATTTCCTCAACTTAGACAATATTTACATTTGATCTGAAAAAAATGCTAGGACCTCACCAATGCCAGGGCACAGGATTTACCTAAAAGCATGGCTTCAAAAAAAAAAATCAGATGGTGGGTAACCAGATCAGAGTTTGGATTTGTTCTAAGTCTTCATATGTGGCCTTGGAGGGCAAATCACTTCCTCTCTGTGTCCTACTTTGCTCCTCCGCAAAATGAAACCAGCACCAGACCTATCTTCTGGGGAGATCATGAGTCTTGATTCATTAAGGTTTAACTGCACTTTAAAGCCTTCAGATGAGAGATGCTAAGAAACAGCCAAGAACTACTGAAGTGATAGATCATATTTTTTATGCAGAAGTGCAAAATTACCCTATTTTCTGTAAAATTAGACCTTTGACTCTTAAACATTTTGGAACATAATTTCTAGTACACACATAATAAGAACACCTGAAAATTGCACACCAGAGCTTGGTCATTCAAGAGTCCCCAACAGTCACCATACGACTCTGGAAGGGGGGGGAACTGGGAAGAGGAGAATGCCTCCCTGAGCTTAGGGAGAGCAGTAATGTCCCACCAAGCACCTGCTTAAGTTGGGACAGGGCTCTTCAGGGAGTTCAGCTCAGGATTAGTATAGCAGTGAGAGCACAAACTGCTCCCTGCTTACTGATCCTGCCTTTCTATCAGGAAAGATTAGATAGAAGTAGCCAGGAAAATTTTGAAAGCTAAAACATTTTCAGTTTCTGTTTTCTGAAGAAAACCTCTCTCTCTCTTCTTTTTGTGGTTTCTTCTTCATTGATTTTCACCATTCTTTCCCTCTTCTCTCCTCTCCTTGCATACTCTGTCCTGCTCTGCACTACTGCATAAAGACCTCTCATCTCCTTCTCTGCGTGACTCAAAGGGCCAGATGACTGCAGCTTTTCCTGAATTTCAGGGAAAAACCCAGATTCAGACATATATGCTATTAAGTTCCAAATTCCATTCATTCAAGTCATGCCTTTCACCCTAGTGATTTGACACAGCATGCCGCAGTTGTGACCAACAGCCGGCCGTGGTGCCACTCTCTGCAGGTCCCCTGGGGCCAGGGTGCCAAGAGCAGGAATTCCCAGGGAAATCCATCTCACAGGCGCCTCAGCTCATGCATTTGTTTCCTTTTAGCCCAATTTTTGTAATAATTGTTATACTGGTTCGGGTTTTTGCTTGGGTTTTTTTTTAGCTGTTTGGTTGGGGTTTTGGGGAGTTGTTTTTTGGGCTTTTGTCTGTTTGTTTGTTTTACAAGAACTGCTTGCCAAATCCTGTAGCCTTAGGAAGGTCCCATCAGGCAAATAATGCCTCCACAGTACCGCTATTCTGCATGACTGCGACAGTCTGAAGGAGAAAGCAACATGAATTTTCATTAAGCCACTAGGTCGGATGACACTTTCATTTCAGTACCCACAAGTTTTTGTCCTGAATCTTTTTTATCCCTGATTCCAAAGGTAAACAGATCATTTGGGTGTCTCAGTGAAAAGGGACCTGAAAACTGTGAAAAGCCCCTCACTGAGTGCAGTGCCAGACTAGCAGCTCCTATGACCTCAGCAGGCACCACTCTGACCTCCTGCACCAGGATGGGGAATGCTGGTAATAGGCATGGAATGGATTCTCTGTTACCTTTTGCTTTAATTTAATTCCCTTCCAACTGAGGCATCATAGCCTGAGTCCTGGTGTGAGGAGAGGTACTTTCATAGAATCACAGAATGGTATAGGTTGGAAGGGACCTTAAAGATCATCCAACCCCCCT